ACGTACATTGCAAATACATAGTACGTACAACGCTGGATTTACGGACGGACGTTTTACGTACACCAATGGGGTTCATGTACGTACATTTCACGTACATGGTACTTTATTTTTGCACTACTTTGCACATGCGAAGTAGGTACTTTGCCGTACGTACTATGTACCCGAGTACATTATACATACACAACAGTATGTCTAATGTACGTACGGCAAAATACGTATCTAGGATGTACAAGGTAGTGCAAAAATATCCTATCGTGCAGGTGAAATGTACTTATATGAACCGTACGTGTACGCAAAATGTACGTCCGTAAATCCAGCGCTATACGTACAGTGTATTTGCAATGTACATACTTGTGGTATTTGGGTTATTGCATTAAAATTTGAAAAAAAAGCACCATTCTTACCTTTACGTAACAGTACCTACGTAAGTATTCCAAGGTGAACTTGTTTTCCGAGTGCACTTTGGTAATTACGCTCCTAATTGCTTTGTTAGGAAAATATCAATTTCCTTTTTGTTCTATTCGTACTCCATATAGAACCAATACTTATTCATCTTTTGTGAATTTTGAAATGCATAATGTGTCATTTTTTAAGAGTAACGCTGGTTTGCAATATAGTGTTTCTTTTTTTTTCTCTACCGTTCCCTTTTAGTCGTGTGCCAAACTTAAATAATGTATATATTATGTTGCACTCAAACGCCGAATTCGGACAATGGCCGAAATTTTTACTCACTTCGCGATGTGGACATGAAATTTTGTGGATATTTTGAAATACTAACGTTGCGATTAGTTCAGTTTATCATATAACTTAATAATATTTTGCTTTATTAGGGAAAGGGTAACTGTCAGTCGTTTTAAGTCATCCACAATTTCGTTTCAACCACTTTTGTTTATCAGAAGGCGATTTGAGTATTCTGTCCACATCGCGAAGTAGGTAAGAAAAAATTTCGGCCATACAGGGTGAGTTTTAAGCTTTAGGATCTCGGAAACCGTAAGATATAGAGATTCGGTTAAATGAGGAAAGAGTTGTAGTTTTAAGAGCTTATTCAAGATATGCTTTTGTTTCTTTAAAAAAATCCACAGTTTACTAGATATGAGCGAAAAACAGATTTAGTTTTTTTTCATTTAACTGTTGTAGAATCGTTAGTATCAGAAATACAGAAATATGCAAAAAACCAAATTGTAGATTTTTTTTCCGCGTAATAAGATACATTTATTAATATTTATTCTTATTTTTTAAATGGTAATCATAGTTGGCTGTGAGATTTTTAAAAAGTGCATTTTTTTCTGTTTACAATCATGGTACAGTAAGACAAGGTATGTCTATACGTGACATCATTGGGATAACTTGGCTCTACCGTTCAATAAAGTAATGGGGTTTGTGTAGTCCTACCAGTTAATAAAAGTGTCTCCCCTTTACGGATGTGATAAGATTTGTTCAATCCATGTCAACTGCGTCAAGTTTCTCACATTAAACTTACAAAGTATCAATTATTGCATGTTGCAAATATTTAAAGTTACAATAAAATATGTAAGTAAAAAAAGTAAAAACTATATTAGCGTTTTCAAATAAGGACGAGACCTCTAGCGGCAATTAAAAAAAAAAAGTATATCAAGTGGTACGTTTAGCTTCTCTGTTGCATTATATTTATATCTAAATACATTCCGAGATGCATTCAGTATGATTACTCAACCAAATTAATTGAGTAATTGCAATGGCACTTCTAATTCAAGTATGAAGTGTATGTAATTTTCAAACTTGGCGGTGATTCTTGTTACGTCATTGGGATAAAAACGTCATCTGCGTTTAGTTATAGGCATACCTTGTCTTAATGTACCATGTTTACAATGATATAAGGTTCATTGTACTTACTTTGACAAATAAACATGATTCAGAACTGTTTGTATTATTAAGAGTAGTAAAAACAGATTTTGCCATGGGAAATATTTTTGTTCTCTTAATTACTGTCTATTATAATATTTAACTTGCAGTTAGTTGTGCGGCGGGTGTTCTTCATGATTTGGCCATATATTAACGATTCAAAAATTTTTGGAATGATTGAAATAATCGTGATTGGCCTATAGTTACTTACTTCGGCTTTATTACCAGTTTATATATTGGAACAATTTTACTATACTTCCATGCCTCGGGATAGCACCCATGTTTTAAAGACTGATTAAAAATAAAGTGCAATGGCTGTAATACGTTCGATGCGCATTTCTTAAAATACACCGATGGAATTTCTTCAACTCCTGGGTTCATTCTTTTTAAGTTTAACAGTTTATTAAGGAGGTCTTGTTTATAAATTTTTAAATGATTTAAATTTAAGTTATTTATTGAGCTAATTTTAAAATCCGATTTTGTGTTAGAGCAATTTGCATAAACCGAAGAAAAATATCTTGCGAATAAATTTGCAACGTCGTTGTTATTGTCAACGATTTCATCATTGTACTCCATGATATTTGGTAAGGATGGATCCGAGTGCTTCGACTTGAAATAGGTCCAGAATGATTTCGGATTTGCAGATATACCATTTTCAAGCTTACGAAAATTACTGCAGGGCGTTTATTTATTAAAGTACATTTAGCAAGCCTTATATCGTTATAAAGAGAAAAATTTGTCCTTTTTAAAAATGTCAAAGCCAACTATGACTACCATTTAAAAAAATTAAAGTTTGTATTATAACTCAAAAATTGTAAGATCTAAAAATAAATTAGTATGTTCATCATGTTAAGCATTAAAGTGTCTAAAACTTTTATTCGTGTCATTTTGTTGTATTTCTAATAATAACGATTCTCTGTTTTTCGCTCATATCTAGTGAACTTTGGATTTTTTTTCAAAAAACAAAATCATATCTTAAATAAGCTCTTAAAACGACAACTCTTTCCTCATTTAATCGAATCCGTATGTCTTATGGTTTCCGAGATCCTAATGCTTAAAATGAAAAAAAAACTCACCCTGTATATTGCATAATCTAATTAATTAATTAAATCTGCGAACGCACAATAATATTCGACTAATGCCCTTTTTGTATTCCCAACGCGCTTCCAAACTATTCATCCGATTTTTTAATTAAAGTTGTGGTTAATTGACAATAATATAAATAGATTCCGAGTACAGAAAAGCACGTTTGGTAGGTATCCTATAACTAATCATTCATCGGGGAATTCCTGGAGCACGACCTTGCACCAGTCACTCTTTAATTATGTAACCGGAAAACCCCCAGAACACGACCTTGCACCGCCAAACAAGTTACGTAACCGGGAAACACCTTTCAACCAAGGTAATGACCTTGTGATGTCACAAAAAGGGGTGGGGTAAGGTATCGGTACTCTACTATTCATTGTGAAAGTGAAATAATCTGATCCATTTAAATAAACACAGGCGAATTTTACGAACTTAATATTTCAAAGAACTCTCTTTGGTGTACAGGGTTGTTCACCATTTGGATCTCAGTATGCGGTGAGGTTAAACAGTGTAGGGAAAATTTGTCCCTTTTTGTGACTAAAAAAACATATTTGACGTTTTTGAAAAGGCTTCGAAAATAACTGAGATATCATCGATAAACTGAAAATGTCAAATTTCGTTCTCATTTTCCCTATCTTAAACGGTCGAAAATAGACGTTCCCGTTAGCACTTTGTTTGGACACTTTTTTTCGGAGAATCTAAATCTCTTATCAGAATTTCCATGAAATGCTAGATGTAGAAGCTACTTTTTGTTTGTTATGGGCGCCATAATATTGAATTTTGTCGGAATGACATAGTAGGCAAAAAAGAAAAATAACTTTTACATAAATTTTACATTCAGTTCTCAACAAATCAGCTACGGGAAAAAAGATCTTGCTAAATCAACACGGCTATGAGGGCGATACATTCAAATGAATTTCTTTTCTGTCCCATTCCGTAAAAATCCAATATGGTGTCCATACGAAATAAGAAAATTGTATCCTATAGCGTGTTAAGGAAAATCCTGATAAGACGAGATTCAGATTCTCCGAAAAAAGTGCCCAAACCAGGTGCTAACGGGACCCGTTCATTTTCGACCGTTTGTACTAGGGAAAATGAAATTTGACATTTTCAGCTTTTCCAAAGATCAAAGGTTTTTCAAAAACTGCAAATGCGTTTTTTTGGTCACAAAAAGAGGAACTCTGCTCCATTTAACATACACTATCGCTTACCGTTAGTGATATCCCAATGGTGAGCCACGAATATGAACCACCCTGTACAGTAATTAAGTATAAGAAATGTTTGTATCAGAATAATAATAGCAATAAATGTAAATAGGCATAAGAATGAAACGTTTAGCATAACGAAAATGGTATTAATAAAGGATCCTCTCAAATAGATTTGCAAGTTTGTTTTGTGGAAATGGGTCAAAATCAAATTGCTTCTTAAGAAAGCAAATGCCCATATTTCGAGAGAATTATTTATTAGATGTGAAGAGGAAAGGATCTAAAGACCGCAAACTTGGTTGGCGAAATTAATTATCCATAATTAAGTTTACTTTTCATGCGAAAAAGCATTAAAAAGGAGCTCTTATCCAAGGATATCTCAGCTATAAATTGTGTGTTTTAGTTTGCCTGCATTAAATCAATATATTCGCTTTTACAAGGTTTAGTCTGAACCCAAAACTGGCTGACTTCATAAATCCTGCTGCGGGAATAATTTCGCGTTTACTTATCCATTTTGTGTAAGAACATGCTTAACTCGATAGAATACCTGCAGTTGCAACTGAATGAAAGCTTTATGTATAGGTTTTTCGCTATGTTATCGTAAAGCAAAGTTTTCTAACGCAGCCTACTGGTACGGTTTGCAGGTTTGCGATGTACCTGAACCTTAAAACCTCCTCTACAATACGAAAACATTTAAAAGCATCCAAAATCCACAAACGTTTACTACCTAGCAAGTATTTCCATCTATCATCAAGTCCTGCTGCTTTCCACAATTAATTGTAAAATAAAATTCTTGGTTCTAAAATACTAATTGTAGCTAAACGTTACCTGCGAGCACATGTGATCCCCGGAGTTGTGGCTACAAGTATTCCCCGAAGCAACGGCGGCCGCACACGCTGCCGTTCCAGGCACCTTTAATTGTTCCTTATAGTCCGGTTGATATGGCAGCAACATTCTAATTTTACCCCATCGATTAAAAAATAACGCTATGGCTCCTATCCAGACGACAAGCACCAGTAGTACTATACCTATTTCTACGCCCCTTACCTGCAAGTAAAAGTAAGATTAGTCTAAGGGCGGCCGTACACGGACTGCTCGAGCAGTTAGCGGCTGAGCGACGTACACGGACCGCTCGAGCGGTCGGCGTCGACTGCTCGAGCGGTCGGTTGTTGGCTGCTCGAGCTACGCTACCAACCGCTCGAGCAGTTGATTTACCACAGTCGGGGGGTCATGCAGTTGACGGCTTGAAGCGGTCGCGACTGCTCGAGCAGTCGTGTGTACGGCAGCGAATGAATGACTATAGTTCACCGCGCGGTCGCGGCTTTAAGCAGTCGGTCTCAACTGCTTGAAGCAGTCCGTGTACGGCCGCCTTTAATCTTGTTTACGGTTTGTAGAACTTGAGAAAGTGAACAGTTCGATAAACCGTGAAATTGATTGAACTTCAGTTCTTCGTGATGCATTGTTTGCGACTAACGTAATATTGATTTCATAGCCGCAAAGATCCACTGAAATGTTTTCCTTTTTTTTCCAACCCGTTTTCACTTACTCTTAAACTGAGTCTAGCGAAAATTTAAATCGTACGGTCCCAGAGGCCTGAAGCTGTGGGGCTGTTACCGTAAATCTTGCTTTATTTCAATTAAATTTTCGTACTTTTAAAACTTTCGTTGAATGCGTACATTTAAGTTTCTTAAGTTATTCGTTTTCTTCCAACTTTTCTCGGTTGGACGACGATGAGGTGGAAAATTTTCCCTGTAGTTTGGTAAATTGTCCTGAAGTCGACAGTAAAATGTCAATATTTCCTTGCGAACACAGTTGGAGTGTAACCACCCCTTTGAAAGCCTAAACATTTCAGTTTAATGTGTAGGTATACAACTGAGCTTGTTAAACAGCAGCCGGCATAAATAAACTAATATAAGCTTTAATAGAAGCAAAAAAGTCGTGTTTGATTATAAAAAAATAAGATCGATGAATTAACACGTTTCAAGGTAAGCCTGACTAATCAATCGTCAATAAAAGGTTTTTGCTCTAGCATTCTCCCCGTAGATTTTAGCATAATGATTACCATTATGCGAATTTACGTATGTATGAGAAAAACTTCCTGGTAATACCATAGACAGAGCAGTCTGCAGCAGGATTCGAACCCACAACCACGCGATTAGCAGTTGCAAACGTTACCACAACGCAACGATCCTCGGCAGTGGAGTACGAAATCCCCACTTAAAGCAAGAGAGCCGATTACAATTTAGGAATAGGTTTCGTATCCAAGGAATAAGTAATACGCCAGAAAAGAATTACACGATTAACGACTTAACCCCGAAAGGTTACACTACAAATTAACTAGAAAGTAGAAGATGATCAGTGTTCCAGAATGCAGAATGAACGCATCTTATTATTAACCCAAACTGCGGTAAAAAAAACAAAAGACAAAGAGGTAAACAGGTGGTCGAATGATCGAACCTTCGCAAAGTCGTAAGAAAACGAAAATTTAAACATTTATACAGTTGTGTATCGTCCGCAGAGAATTGATACTTGCTGGGTCTAATATGTCTAACAGTATTAGAAGTGTATATTGAAAACAGCAACGGCCTCAAAATTGAAGCCTGCGACACCCATTCAAATGCATATTGTTAGGAAGTACAACCTCTCTTCTATCTCTTAAATAACTAAAGAGTAGAGTAATAGCGTTCCCGTCGAACCCATAGTAATGTAACATTGCCAACAGTATAGCATGCCTAACGGTGTCAATGCTTTCGAAAGAACAGAAGCATTAATACCACAAGTGTATCATCTAACGCGGTTGCTTTTGACAAAACCCTTTCACCGCTATACCCTATATACCGCTATATTGAGAAGCATGAAGGCAATGTAACAAAATACGAGTATCAGTTTCCTCTTGAGTTGAGCAGAGCTCTTCATGTACAGTGGATTTCACAGTTGATCCATCTTCACTAGTAAACAATGTGCACTGGTGATTGTGTGCTAGAGGTAAAGTCTTCGACCATGAAAGTAGTAGGCATAGTTATCTTGGCTTCATTCCATGATGCAGCAGGTGAACAAGCTGTGCTCATTTTGAATTTCATGCAATTCGGTTCATAACTATCGAGAACGTCAAGAGGACCTTCCTTATTTTTTGTCTTACATTGTCAATTCAAAAACTCCGATCTACCAATTTGGTAAGGAATCTCCTGAAAAATTTCATTCTAGTCGATCCATTCGTTTTAGAGATATTGTGCTAACAGAGCGACAGACGGACAGACACCGCAAAATTATGAACTCGCTAGGAGCTCCCACTTAAAGACCGGGGCCCGACCTTCCTATACGTTACAAGATGGAAGATAAACCATAAACCTCAATCTTCTTTAAATCTACAGAGTTTTTCTGGGTTATGCTGTAATTGACAAGTGGCAAACAACGGAAACCTTATAAGATGGTAATAGCAACGAAATTAATATGTGTTCCGGAAATTCCTACGGGGGGCGAAATTTTCATAGTGCACGGTATGCCTCAGGTTTCGTGCGACATCGCTGGGAGAATACCATTGTCTGCCGAAGGTCAAATAGGCGGGGGGGATACCGGTAGTTTGGCAGACCGCACTACTTATAATGAGTTGGATGGGCGCAGGCTGTCGTGCCCAGTTTCGGTGGTGATTTATCAGCAAGTTGGATAATTAATCACCTGGGTGATATAAGGGTATTTAGGGTCTGTTCTATCCTTAGGCAGAACATTGCATGATGCATAACTGAACTTACGAATTGGACCCCATTGCCGCTGGCTCCCATAGCGAAGTACCACTTCCATCTGGCTTTCGTTGGATATCTTGTATCCCGGCCCAAAAGTAGCGCCGGGTGATGTTCTGATAGGTTTTTCTATCCCATAGTGCCCGGCAGTGGGTTGATCGTGATACTCCTAGAAGATTTGAGTTCGTTCTCGCTCAGGTACCACCAACTGTTGTTCGGTGATGTTGTAATCTCCGTCACTTCATTCATGTAGTTGTTCTTGGCGAATATCATTTGCTCTGTTTCGCGGTAGGTCAATTACGATTTCGCACATCTCATATACTTTTGCAGTGGGAGTCGTGAAGACGTGTCTGCAACTACGTTTGTCTTCTCCGAGTTATACTGGATCTGGATATTGTATGGTTTTAGTTGTGAACGAACCTTGCCAGACGTACTGTGGGTACCTTGATGGGCATCCACCTCTTGAGGGGCTGGTGGTCTGTGTTTCCGACCCGCTTTCAATATAACCTCGAAACTTTTGGATGGTCCAAACAAATTCCAAGGCTTCTCGCACCGTAGAGTAGTTCCATTTTGCCGACAAGAGCAGGATGTCTTCCTGGTCACCCTCCCCTTGGAACAGAACTGCTCCTATACCATAGGCGCAACCGTCCGTTTTATTGTGATGGGTTTGCTGTCGTCCACCTGAAGCAAAAATGGGGCGGTGCCGAACATTTATTTAAAGTCTTAAATGCCTCCTCGACAAGCACTCCCAGGCAGAGTTTTTATTAGTTAGCTTGCTTAGGGGTCTAGCTAGAACTGCAAAGTCTTTTATGAATCTCCCGTTTGCAGGAAGATGAGTGAACTTCTTCGGTTATGGCTACGTTCGTATCCCCTTGTCCGGTACCCAGGTACTTGACTTCCTTGCAGCAGTAGTGGCATTAGGTTCGGTTCGGTCCTGGAGAGTCTTCAGGACGATTTCTTCCACCTTGAAGTGTTCTTCAAACGTTGACGACAGTAGGATCAGGTCGTTCGAATAGGCGAGGCGAATATTGTGCGCAACCTCTTAAACCGGATTTTCGAGGGTCGCAGACACGTTCCGTACCCCAAAAGGCATCCGACGGAACCGGTAAATTCCGGAGGGGTAAAAAATGCTGTACTGTATTGGACTTTTTCGTGGCATTTGACCTGCCAGTATCCATAGTGCAGGTCGAGTATGGAAATATATCTTCGGTGCGCTTTGCCTCGTACAGAAAATCATTAATTGGAGGTAACGGATAGTGATCTGCGGACATTAAGTTCCTTCACTTGAGTCTCTTCTTCGAGTTGTCGTTTTCGAGATGCTAGAAATGGGCAGATTGTTGAGCTAGTCGGTGGTCATGGTGATTGATGTCATCTTCCCTTCTTTTGTTTGGCTTCTTCGTTTGGTACCCGTCTTTGTAGAAGTAATGTCGACTGTTTTTTTCCCGATTCCGTAGACAAGCGCACTCACTTGAGTCTGTTGATGGTGGGCACGAGTAGGAAAAAAATTGTCGGTATATGTTACACGCACACGTGAAAGAAAAATCAATTGAATCCTTTTCTATTCTTAACCCATTTTTAGCTGAGCTAACCTGGAAAGTAAAAGTACGAAAGGTAGGTTCCAAGGTAGGTACTACAACACAACAAGAAACCGAAGAAAATAGTAAGAAGAATTTTATACATCAGACCACATCGCGAACCTGAGAATATTACTAAACTTTTGTGAGGGAGACCAATTGGTTACTTTCGTAAAGGATTGTACAAAACCACAATACTTGGAAGAAACGTGTTTTCATTGAAAAGTATTTCTACGAAATCCACAGAAGCATACTACTAAAAAACCACGTCGTAAGACCTTGTTGTATGTAACTACGCAAGAATGCTATTAATTACTTGCAACCTGAACCTGGCCTTATTCGTTGATCTTTTTTTAGCGTTACTTTTCCACTCCAAAGCATTCCCTTATTTACAGCGAACGTTACTTCATTTTGAATGAGCTTTATTGAATATAATAAATTAGGTAAGTGCCTATTAATACGACTTAATGAATTGTTTATAAGTTGTAAGTGGTCGGAACGGAAAACACGATTAATTTAACTGAAAATCCGGCATTCCAGGTTAAGGGAGAGGTCCCCAACAACATAATACTTTACGACTAGGGCACAATGAGAGCACATTCGGTCGTTTAACTAAAATCCTAGCTTTACGAGATCTGCTATGCACTAAAATTGTTGAGAATCCAAAATACCGAAATTCTCGTATATATCGAGGGTAGTAAGTATGCAAATTATCCTCATTTTCTGCCTTAACAAAGACTATAAATAGAGAAATTACCTACTCATAAAGTTTGGAAACTTGTACTACCTTTGTTCATGCCTGTGAATTTTTATACCGACGTAACTTAAAATTAATTAAAAGAGCTTTTACACACGAAAGCCTACTGCAAAGTACGTCATAAATGGTGTCACTTACCGTGGAACTAGTTTGTGGATATTCGAAATCGGGTGGTTCTGGATTTGTGGGGGATGACGGAACACCTGTGGCAAAGACGCCCATAATATCTTGTTGTGGAGATGTTCGTGGAGGCTCTGCAAGTAAGATAGAGAATTTTGTCACCAATGCAAACTTGTATAATAAACAGTCTCGCTAAGTAAATTAGAGTCTCCCCCATCTTGCGGTGTGTTTGATAAGCGGTATTTTAATTAAACTTTGAAAATACTTTCGCTACATCCTCCATCTTACGATAAGTAGACTTTGCTAAGCGAGTGGTATCCGAGAAAACACTCGGGATGTTATTACGCAATAAAGATAAAACGGAGCTTGGACATGTCAATTTTATCTTCGTTGAGGGGAATCCTTCAGGCTAAATCTGACTTTCCCATTCGTCGGGACTGTCACCCGAAACCCTAAACTTTTAAATAGCATGATACGGCGATGACTACGAATTTCAGGCTGTATTTTTTATATTTAATTTACCCCTTTCGAATTTCAGCCTTTGTCTTTGCAACTGGAAAAGTTTCCAGGCAACTATTTTGTCAAAACAATAAAGATTCAAATGTCGTCGACCTGAACTTTTATTAATAGTTATTTACATAAAAGTCGGGAAAATGACACTGGCGAGGAAAGATTGAAGTGCGATGCCCTTTGGGGTCGAGTACTTTAATTTCCGAGTCAAGTAATGTCATTTTGCTGACGAGTTTTGTATTAAATTTTACCCGAAATCGTATTTTATTATAAAATTTCAATTTTCATATAGAACTTTTGTTTAATGTCAATCTGTCAGTGATGACAGGAGTCATTATAGACATTTAGCAATGTCAAAAATGCGGCCGGTAAAGTGACGGTGCGGCCGGTAAAGTGACAGGTGCGGCCAGTAAAGTGGCAAGCGGCAGGAAACGTAGTCTGCTCTGCCTCTGTCATGGAAACTAAAATTTCCTGACAGAAAGTAGGCATGAAAATAAAGGTTTCGGGATGATTTTGTGTAAAACATAATTTGTGGTCTCACTACATTAAACTACTATTTACATAATGACATCGTCAAAAGCGTACTTTGGGCTTCCATGACTAGGTCTCTAAAAATCCAAATTCAGGAATGAAAGTACTTTCCAACGATGTGTTGCTATTTTCATAGGAAAAATCTTATTCCGTACAACCACTGCGTTTACTAGATATCGTTAGCCAAACCATAAATAAATTGCAATTTTGATTCATTTTGAAACGTTCAATAAAACGCAAAAAGACATTAAGATGTCACAGTTAACACCGTACAGCTAATTATATGCAGATTTGACCGGTTTGGTAGAAATTGCTATGATTGTACCAGCCCGGTTAAACCTGGTTAATTTTCCTGGTACGATGAAATCATAACAAATGTAGTCTTGATATTGAAATGAAATGATATACTTCTACAAACGATGGTAAAGCATTTCAAGATTCGCACCCGGACATTTGGTACTACGACAATTCGCACCAAAAGTAATCCACACCCAAAACAATTCCCGTCCAATGTAATAATTAGCAGCTCCAGAGTTTGTATGTGTGCAATTCAGTAGGTTTTGAATGTTTCGCGTGTGGTCCAAAAGGTATTTTTCGCCGAGCTTGTAATGAAATCGTGCTTCATCTTGATGTCATGAAGTGAAGTTTTGGTAATAAAATTTATTTAGAACTATGTACCTAGTTAAAATACGAAGCAACACCTTATTGAAATGTGTTTACGGAACTCGTTTAGAATTACCTTATGCAGGAGTGCCGATCTGCTCGTCAGGGCGTTTTAAAATCTTTCTGTTTAATTATCTTGTAGGATAGATATTTAAATATCAAGGTACTGTTTGATATATCGGATTACATATTGCCAGTTTGGCGGCTCAAAATTTTTCAAGTTATGGAGATATGGTACGGAAATCATCCAACTTCTAATTAATTTGAAAATCTTTCTCGTTCCTTTGTATATTTTGAGAATTGTGTAAATTAAACTCAAAAGCTCACCGGAAATTCCCGCGTACGATCTTGCACCATAAAACAAGGTCACTAATTGGTTAGTTATGTAACCAAGAAATCCCCTTCACCAAGGCCACCGAATGCGCTGGACAAATTTAGAATGTTATTGGTATCCGAAGGTCATTAATTTTATTATATAAGATTAACTGGTATCTCTAATACGTTTGGGAAAAACCACGTTCCTAATTATGGGGTGTAAAAGTGATCCTTTCTATTTCTGGTTAGTATTCGGTCACTTTTCTGTGCGTTAACACGCATTATTGCCAATTTTATTAGCCTTTTTTTGCAATAGGGAATCTCTCTCGCTCTCTTTAAATCGCGTAGCAGAATTAAGTATAATTTAAAAAAAAATAATCGAATTAACTGAACCCAAACCCGTGAAACTGCAAAAATAATCGTCCAATGCTCTTTTAGCATCTTTTAAACTATTCATCCAATTTTGACATTTGAAATATGGTTAATTGTAATGAAGGATAATAAGATTCTGAGTGCATAAAACCCCTGTTGGCATCCTAGCGCTTACTCCTAAAGTATTCATCCAACGAAAAAGTCCCAAAGCATTACATTGCACCACAAAACAAGGTTACGCGTTCGTCGAGATAAACAATCCAAGGGCATAGATTCCAAGGCCAAGACAGTGACCTCTGACCAAAGGCGACGACCTTGGTCCAGAATCTAAACCTTTGAAAAACCTACGGTGAAAGTCAAGAATCTAAGGTCACGACCTTGAGTAAACCTAAGGTGACGTGGGGGTGGGGGGACCTCAAGGCCATGATTTTGGGTTCGTTCAAGGCCATGACCAAGGGGGGGAGGACTATTGCCGCAGTTCTGCTTATGGATTATCGAATATATCGTTGTAGATTTCAAGTTTATGACAATAAAGTTTTAAGCACTTTTATTTTTACGTTTCTCCACAAAGGGCATTTCCTATAATTTTTTTCTCCATTCTCAAGGTATTCATCGAAATGAAAATAATAAAATAATCTTAGTCATTTGAAGTATTTTGGCTATTGTGCAGTAAGAACTTTTGTAGATTTAATCAGCTGTGATATGATGTAATTATATACAGAGTGTCGCATTTTTGTTACCCGAAAAATGCGATGTTGTTAACATTACATTTACATTTGAATTCAGTAGAAAAAAATACACAATTGTCATAATTCAACCGTCTCTCTAATTCTAAACTAAGAAGTTAGCAATAGTGCCGGCTAAATTTGAAACGGACTGTATACAGGTCTGAAGGATTTTGTTTATTATAGTTTTCATCGCCATTTTTTGAGCTCTAAAAAATACCGTTGAGATTTGCAATACAATGTTTCGTTTCGGAAAAATCAGCATCAACTTTATTTTCTTATATGGACCGTATATAATATAAAGTACATGCTGTATTGAGTAGCATTTTTTATTACGAATACAACAATGTATAGCATACAAAGGAAAAACAAAAGTTGGAAACTGTTGGTTTCTACCAGTCGTTTCGTACATCCGCCTGTCCGTTACTTTTGGACTTTTTGAAATCTTCAAATGCGAATATCTCGACAAAGGAGTGTCGGAAAAGTTCACGCCATCATATATAGCAATTCAAATATTGCTCCATAATGAACATTACTGCGAGGAAGTTGGGGTTCGCTCACATTCGGAGAGCTTTTTAAATTGAAGAAATATTAGCGGGATTATAATTACATGTTAGTTAAAAAAAAATAAGTAAATGTACAAATTATATTCATTTACAAATACAGTAGCGACAGTCGGCGGTAATAGTCTAAGAGCTGGCGACATATTTCACTAAGCGTCTCTTATATGGCTCAAAAGTCGCTGAGCGCTAGATACGGGGTTCGTCTCAAGTAACCCGTGAGTCTGCCAGCCCAAAGCCGTTGCGTTCAAGCACCTGGCCCAGGTAAAAATCGCGATTTTTCAAGTCATTGTTATATGGTCTGTTCCAACTCAGATCTACTCGACTGTTCTATTAAATTGTTGCTTTAAACAGGCAGACACGTAGGTTGTTGTTAACATGGTGGCAGAATTAATAATAATGATTTTTTTAATAAATATTTTCAAGTCATAGTTTTACGTCTGCCAATTTTGTTTTCATAAAGTACAATGTCGCCCTACAACACATGTAAAAGGGCAGATTGAAATTCCGTTGCAAACACCTCGAAAATAATTAATAAAGTTCCGTAAAATTGTACCAAAGTCTTACACACACGAACGAGCCGAGACGGAAACGTCCGAGCTTTGGCTACTACAAACCCACGGTAGACTGTTGCCGCACAGCTGGATCTCCTCCACTCGGCCAGTCCCGTCGTTTCGTGGAACCCCCATCCCGCCACCGCCCGCGCTGGCCCGACTTTGGTACAATTTTACGGAACTTTATTAATTATTTTCGAGGTGTTTGCAACGGAATTTCAATCTGCCCTTTTACATGTGTTGTAGGGCGACATTGTACTTTATGAAAACAAAATTGGCAGACGTAAAACTATGACTTGAAAATATTTATTAAAAAAATCATTATTATTAATTCTGCCACCATGTTAACAACAACCTACATGTCTGCCTGTTTAAAGCAACAATTTAATAGAACAGTCGAGCAAATCTGAGTTGGAACAGACCATATAACAATGACTTGAAAAATCGCGATTTTCACCTGAGCCAGGTGCTTGAACACAACGGCTTTGGGCTGGCAGACTCACGGGTTACTTGAGACGAACCCCATACCTATCGCTCAGCGAATTTTGAGCCATATAAGAGACGCTTAGTGAAATATGTCGCCAGCTCTCCGTCTATAACGTGATTTGTCGGTGGAAGCCGGCAGAACTGCGGGAAGTGATCAAAACTCATAATGCGATTTCTATTTATTAAACGTCCATTCCGAGTAAAGAGAAACTCGAATTACTATCCCGCACGTTTGTACCTTCGATACGTTCAACCAAATTAAGCTGTTTTAAATTAGTTACCCCTTTCCTCGATATCGAAAAAATATGGTATTGATGTCAGACTTCAAATTTTTTAATCTCCTTTCTTTTGAGATAAGGCCCAGCTCAATTGGACGGGTTCTTCTGCAATTAATTTATTTTTAATTATACTTATTCAG